TACATCAGTTGATCCAACATCCAGGAGAATCAGACAACTAGTTAGTTCAGTGTTACATCAGTTGATCCAACATCCAGGAGAATCAGACAACTAGTTAGTTCAGTGTTACATCAGTTGATCCAACATCCAGGAGAATCAGACAACTAATTAGACCAGTGTTACATCAGTTGATCCAACAACCAGAGAAGTAGCTAGTCTGGTGTCATGTTAGTTGATCCAACATCCAGGAGAATCAGACTACTAGATAGTTCTTTGTTACATCAGTTGATCCAACATCCAGGAGAATCAGACAACTAGTTAGTTCAGTGTTACATCAGTTGATCCAACATCCAGGAGAATCAGACAACTAGTTAGTCCAGTGTTACATCAGTTGATCCAACATCCAGGAGAATCAGACAACTAGTTAGTCCAGTGTTACATCAGTTGATCCAATAACCAGGAGAATCAGACAACTAATTAGTCCAGTGTTACATCAGTTGATCCAACATCCAGGAGAATCAGACAACTAATTAGTCCAGTGTTACATCAGTTGATCCAACATCCAGGAGAATCAGACAACTAATTAGTCCAGTGTTAATTCTCCTGGATGTTGGATCAACTGATGCAGACAACTAATTAGTCCAGTGCTACATCAGTTGATCCAACATCCAGGAGAATCAGACAACTAGTTAGTCCGGTGTCACGTTAGTTGATCCAACAACCAGGGAAATCAGACAACTAGCTAGTCCGATGTCACGTCAGTTGATCCAGCAACCAGGAGAATCAGACAACTAGCAAGCCAATGTTACATCAGTTGATCCAGCAACCAGGAGAATCAGACAACTAGCAAGCCAATGTTACATCAGTTGATCCAGCAACCAGGAGAGTCAGACAGCTAGCTAGTCCGATGTCACATCAGTTGATCCAGCAACCAAGAGAATCAGACAAGTAGCTAGTCCGATGTCACGCCAGTTGATCCAACAACCAAGAGAATCAGACAACTAGCAAACCAATGTTACATCAGTTGATCCAGCAACCATGAGAATCAGACAACTAGTTAGTCCAGTGTTACATCAGTTGATCCAACATCCAGGAGAATCAGACAACTAGTTAGACCAGTGTTACATCAGTTGATCCAACATCCAGGAGAATAAGACAACTAGTTAGACCACTGTTACATCAGTTGATCCAATAACCAGGAGAATCAGACAACTAATTAGTCCAGTGTTACATCAGTTGATCCAGCAACCAGGAGAATCAGACAACTAGCAAGCCAATGTTACATCAGTTGATCCAGCAACCAGGAGAATCAGACAACTAGCAAGCCAATGTTACATCAGTTGATCCAGCAACCAGGAGAGTCAGACAGCTAGCTAGTCCGATGTCACATCAGTTGATCCAGCAACCAAGAGAATCAGACAAGTAGCTAGTCCGATGTCACGCCAGTTGATCCAACAACCAAGAGAATCAGACAACTAGCAAACCGATGTTACATCAGTTGATCCAGCAACCATGAGAATCAGACAACTAGTTAGTCCAGTGTTACATCAGTTGATCCAACATCCAGGAGAATCAGACAACTAGTTAGACCAGTGTTACATCAGTTGATCCAACATCCAGGAGAATCAGACAACTAGTTAGTCCGATGTCACGTCAGTTGATCCAGCAACCAAGAGAATCAGACAACTAGCTAGTCTGATGTCACGCCAGTTGATCCAGCAACCATGAGAATCAGACAACTAGTTAGTTCAGTGTTACATCAGTTGATGCAACATCCAGGAGAATCAGACAACTAGTTAGACCAGTGTTACATCAGTTGATCCAACATCCAGGAGAATCAGACAACTAGTTAGTCCAGTGTTACATCAGTTGATCCAGCAACCATTGGAATCAGACAACTAGCTAGTCCGATGTCACGTCAGTTGATCCAACAACCAAGAGAATCAGACTACTGCTTACTTCCAATGATTGTTTGATTTACAAACACACATCTGAGCTAAGGTTCTAAAATGTAATGTTTTTAATGTGTTACAGTAAATTATATATATTATTATTATTCCCACTCAGGTCTGTTAGGATCAATCGGATCTTACAGGAATGGAGCGTGTTTGTTGAACACAGTAAGTAAAAACATTGTTCATTACCTTTTTCTAATATTTAATTAGATTATACATTATAACCCTTAGGTTCTATGAAATAAATCTTTAACTACTATAAATAGGTAGGACCATCAATAACTTTCTCGTACTTAAATGTTAACCTGTTTCCAGTTATCTTGAGTTTTCACTGTCGATACAATATCCTGGTGTAGTTTTGATGAAACTTTGACGACATCCTGTTCAGTAGAACTTATGTACACTAAAAACATATCTTACAAAATGTAGGCTAGAATATGTATGTAAAATTTTAACTCATTCTACAAAAGGTAATTTTAAAATTGTGACCAGTCTCTTACATAATTAATATCATGGTGATAATTGTTCTAACCTGTCTCATATCTAAATATTGTAATGGTAATAATTACAGGTAATACTGTCCCTTTTTACCTTGTTACAAACTGTCTCTGAGTAACGTGTTTTATACCTTATTATAAAGATATAGTCACAGGTAATGTATAAAACACATTACTCAGAGACAGTTTGTAACAAGGTAAAAAGGGACAGTGTATATTTTAGATACTTTAATTCATCATTTTCCCTTCTAGTTTTTAGGTCTGACTGTTATATCAGTTGCTGTAGAAGTTGGAGGTATCGTGACTCTAAATATCATGAAGACAAAAGTGAGATTTATTTTGTTGATAATCCGATACAGAATCTCATGTTGACCTATTAACATCTCATACCCAAAAATATATGTAGTTATCCCATTTCCTGTCCTATGATACAACTAATAACTTAAATATATTTAGTACTCCCATTTCCTGTCCTATTATACCACAAATAACTTAAATATATGTAGTACAGAGGTAATTATGATATCAACTAGAGTGACTGTATCATGATTATTGTTAAATAGACATACAGAGGTAATTAGGATAACAACTAGAGTGACTGTATCACTCAGGTTATCTTTATGTAGACATACAGAGGTAATTATGATATCAACTAGAGTGACTGTATCACTCAGGTTATCTTTATGTAGACATTCAGGGGTAATTAGGATAACGACTAGGGTGTCTGTATCACGATTATTGTTATATAGACATACAGAGGTAATTAGGATAACAACTAGAGTGACTGTATCACTCAGGTTATCTTTATGTAGACATACAGAGGTAATTAGGATATCAACTAGAGTGACTGTATCACTCAGG